CTCACCTATCTTCAGCTGGTTGAGAGGTGTATCACAGATCCCATCACAGGCCTCAGTTTACTCCCCTTGCACAGGTGAAGGAAAGTAAAGCTTTCTACAATCATTTACTCGTGTTTTTCCTGCATTATCAGTGTAACAAGATGGGATTCAGCTGAGCATATTATTACCTGGCCTATATAATCTGGATTTAGTTATGTTTTACAGCATTTAGGCAAAAGCTGTTTCTACTGAAATATTGTGCTTCCCAAGTATACTTTGTGTTGATCTCACCTGGAAGCAAGCCATGCATCTGTTGCTTTTTTGTGTTCTTCTAAAACCGGTCCTGCTTCAACTATTACATTGTGTGGCTCAATAAACAAGTGAGATATGACCACCATGTCTTGTCCTGTCTTGACTTTCTTTCAACAATTTTGTAAGAACATTTTGATATTTTTGGAACTTGATTTGTGTATTAGTTCAGTACAACACATAGTGTAAATAATTTCCTGGTTGAAGAGTCTTCATGTGGATTGGACAACGTTTAAGAGCCCTAAAAGCACCCATAAAACTTCCTGTTCAACAACAATAAAGCAAATCAAATTCAACCATTTGTAATGTGTAAGAGTGGGAAAAATGTCTCTGTTGGAAAAATTTGAAACAATGTCCTCAACAACAGCTTGAATGCAGCAAGAATGACCCCATTCTGTCAATCTGCACATTTACCTTGAGTGTACAGCACTCTCTATTGGAAAGACAGTATACAACAAACTTCATAATGACATGTTGAACACTCATTTTTAATTCAAATATGTCTTGACAAACTTTTGTCTGGTAATATTGTAACTTGGTGTAAAATGTATGTAAGAAAAAGAGTAAAAAACAAATCTAGGAATCCTAGGTATAAACAACTGAATGTCCCTGTAGATTAACAGTTAGGGTGATTCATATAAATGTATTCAAATCAAACATGTCAATGTCACCCCCTAAGCTACATGTAGAGTAGACAGTGCTCTTAACTCATACTATCTGAGTGACACAGCAGTGGACTCCACACCCTTGCTTTCTTGAACAGTAAGGAGGGCTTTATTGGTACGGTATACATATAAATCAACATTTACAAAAACACCAGTGTGTAAAATATCTTACAACAATCCATCATCCATCATTACTTGAACCACATAATCCACAAAGAGGTGTGTTTTAAGGCAGCGGTCCCCAACCACCGGGCCACGGGCCGGTACCGGGCCGTGGGTCATTTGGTAACGGGCCGCACAGAAAGAATAAATATTATATTATTTCCGTTTTATTGATTATCAGAGTATCAAAGAAGTTTTATTTTGAAAAATGACGGATTCTCCCCCAATTTCATCCGCCTGTGGCTCTTGACACATGTCAAGACGCTCGTCTCGGTCACGTGACACATTACCTCAAAAATTAAGCCGCAAACTAGCGAAAATGAGTAAATAACTTTTGGAGAGCTTCTTTGCAAAGGGGGAAAGGCCCACTAAGGAGACAGAAGAAGAGCCTACAACTTCCAAGAAAAAGAAAGCTTCATTTAACAGACAATATCAAGAGTCTGATTAAATATCAGGAGTAATTCTGACACGCCAAGCCCGCTCTGCAGAATATGTGGCGACAGAGGAAAATCAGCTGCTGGAGATTGTAAATGACGGTGGCCTTAAAAGTATGTTTGAGACAACAACTCTGCTGGTGTTTGGATTAAAATCAAGGCTGAATATCCGGAGATCGCCACTAAAGCACTGAAACCCCTGCTTCCATTTCACACATCCTCTTTGTGAAGCAGGATGTTCTGCAGTGACAGCAATCAAAACAATATTAGGAAGTAGACTGGACATAAGGAACAGACTTCGGGTGTCATTGTCTCCAATTACCCCAGATGGGACCGTCCCGTTGCTGAGAAACAAGCTCAGGGCTCCCACTGATTCAGCGTTATTGTGAGTTGTATTTTGTATGCATTTTATATTTGTTTTCATGCCGATAGTATCATTTTATTTCAGCGTGTTTATCCGCCACACCTTGAAGGCCGGTCCGTGAAAATATCGTTTTACATCAAACCGGTCCGTGGCGCAAAAAAGGTTGGGGACCTCTGCTTTACGGCATTCACCTAAGCCTGGATCCATTTCTGGAACTAAATGAATATGACGACTACTTCAATTTGTCCAGCAGCTGGCGAATGTCCTCTTGGCCACGGTAAATTCTCTTCAGTCCTCTTGGAAGATAACGGCAGGATGAAATGTTGAGGTAGCTAAGAGCACTCATTTGGCCGATGACTGGCCTGCAAAAATAAAGAACAGAGATCGTTATTTTTTCCTTGAGAAATCCTTCACAAAGATAATGACAATGCTAAACCTTCAGTTCTCAGGATTTACAAACGTCAATGCTTGATTTCTATTCATACTGCAGATTGTCTCTTAAAGTGCTGTTTCATAGTTTATTTGGACTGGGAGAGTTAAGAGGGGAAACTATACATGACGTACCTGAGGGCAGGTGGTGTGATCCTGGTGCCACTCAGGTTTAGTGAGTGCAGGGTATCTGCCTCTGTGGCGTGGGCAAGGTGACTCATCGCCATCTCCAAGTCCTCCCCGGAGAAGAGCTGGTTTGCGATGTCAAGCTGTTGCAGTGTTCGACTCCATTTCTGGGTCACCATGTGAAGCCCCTTCTTAGGTGATGGCAACGCAACATTGCTGCTGAAATACTGTCCCCAGAACAGACACTCAAGCCCTGCCAAACAGCAAACAAATAAAGAAGGTAGTATCGATTCATAAATGGGTTTTTGATACAACTTTTTTTTTTTTTTTTAACAAGAGCTGAAATGTATAAAGTATAAAGAAGAGCAGAGCAAAAGTACTTATTTCTACACCCAAAATTAAAATATGAAAAGACCACACTAAGTTTTTGAGTATGAGCCCAAAATTAGGTCCCATTATAAATCATACTTAAGTAACTTAACGTCTCCGAATTGACAAAAGTGAGAGTATAGATTGCACGAGTTAGGCCTACCAAGACAGGGTAGTGTTGTGAGACCGGAGGGTGTGATTCGAGAACAGCCTCGCAGGTCCAACACCCGCAGCCTGGTGGAGCCAAAGAGGATGTCCAACAAGTCTTTGTCTGTCATGTAGGAAAAAGAGGTGGTTGCGATACACAGCTCCTCCAGCAACGGGAAGCCTAGTGTTGAGTCGGCGCCATTACGCATCGTCTTATGTAGAGGTCTGACATTCAGCATCCGGAAGGTCTGATGGGAAGTTAGAACAGGTAAACATGGTCCACACAAACAGTAAACTGATTCATTCACTGACACGTGAAATGGAACGTGCTAAATGTATCACTAGACAGAAATTAAAGCTGCAATTAACAATTATTCGTATCTGCCGGTATTGAAAACTTGGTATCAGCTAAAGTTTGGGATTTGTGCTTTAAAAATGACTGGAACGATTAATCAGATATCAAAATAACTGCTGATTAATTTTTAAGTTAATTGTTTCAGCTATAAAAGCATTTTCCTTCATATGTATACAAGAGCTGCAAAATGTACTATTTATAATGGTCACTTTATTACCATCGCAACTCAGAGTCACATTTAAGTATAGTCACAATGATCATATTGATCCCATTGGTGTAGGAAACTGAAAAATGAGATGATTTGTTTACCTTGAGTTTAGGGCAGGCCATCTGTAGTGCCTGGATGCAAACGGGAAGTTCACAATCTTTACTGTCGAGCTTAGTGTTGACCTCCAGCAACTCCAAATCAGGACAGTTCCCCCTCTGAAAAGACAAATACCATATAATGAGTGTACAATGTTTATTTGTCCCCCGTAGCTCGGGCTATGTGTGATACATACATATAAAAGCATAAAGTTAGGAGAGAAAAGGGATGTGGAGCTTACGGTGATTGCAGTTAGAAGTCTGTCGTTCTTTAGTCCATGAGTGAACAACATTTGCTTGATCTGGCTCCCATGATTTTCGAGGTACTCCAGGAGTCCCTCAACCTGAAACTACAACAAAAACTAATTTTCTACAAATTATCAATTCAATATGTACCCAAACAGGTGGTGAATGAACACCTGCTGGGAATTGCTGACTGTGACTGGTGTATCAAATTGAACAATAACTATTCCATTTATAACCATTCCTGTACTGTAACTGTTGGATCATGTATTGTCCTGCGTAGACAGGGCGCCCATACAAAAGAGGATGAACTGCTCTCATGGGACCTGCCTCGGAGACGTGGACTGTAGTCATCGACAAACGATCAGCAGCCGGTCCAAACTGGACAGTTTTCATACTCCTGTTTTTTTTACACATTTACATATCAATATGTAATACCTGGTCTTTGCTACCTTGAAACTAAAACAACTACTGAGCTGGTACTTGATGTACCTCTGAATATTGGAGATTCATGCTTTGCAGAGACCGGCTGTGTAGAGCCAGTGTGTGGAAGGCTGCTGCTGTCAGGCCGGTACAGTAGGAGAGCTTGAGGGAGCGAAGGTGAGGGCAGAACTGCGCCACAACCTAAATGTGATCACAACATAAGCAGAAAAAAACATATGGAAAAAAAAAAATACAAACGTGTTAAAAAAACGGCAACATATAATTTATCAGGCAATATTTTGTACATATATATAAATATAAACCTTTAGACTCTTAACTTCAACATTGACCCATTTCTTATCGAATGTAGAATCTCTTATTTCAGAACAAAGTTCATTAAATCGATCATATTAGGACTCAATTAACAATTACTTTCATGATTGATTCATCAACAGATTATATATTATTGTTATTTTCTTGATTCATTGTCTTGTATTTAAAATGTCAGATATAACTTCCCTGAGGCCAAGGTGTTGTATTAAAATTGTCAAACAAGAAAAATATTCTTTGGCTTTGTTGTCGTGTATGACAAAGAACAAAATCAAATCCTCACATTTGAGAAGATGGAAGCAGCAAGTACTTTTGGATAAAATCGAACAGAAACATGATAGTCAAAATAGCCATTCTTTTCAGAAGCTTATGAAATAGTAGATTGAAAAGGACAGATATTTAGTTTTGACGGCTTACCTCTACTGCATAGGTAGTAACATTCTTTGACCAGTGACAGAGAGAGAAGTCTCGTAGCTGAGAGAACCTAGAGAGCAAGAAGTGCACTTTATACTTTCCTTTTCAAGATATCAAAAATATAAGATGGGTAGACCCGCACACACTACATCGCGGCTCACATCAAACTAACAATACAGACCTGTTCTGTGCCAGCCAGTTAAAAGTGTCCTTAATCTTCTTCTCAGTTTTAGGTAGCTGAGATTTCGCTGGAGCAATCCAGCAGTGACCTACAGTCACTTTACGCCACAGGACCGGGCTGGAGGCAGCAGCGTTCCACAGACGGCAAACTCTCCCCGCCCTACACCACAAACACAGAGGAAACTACAACTACCATGTATGCCTCTGCCAACCAGTCAAGTTGCAGTTTTACATCCACGAGTGTCCAAATTGTCATCACTGTATCCTATTTGTGTGAAATTGAATTATTGCCAAAAACGTTTTTTTGAGAGGACACAGTGACCTTTGGCCACCAAATTCTAATCAGTTCCTCCTTGAGTTCAGGGGCACGTTTGTGCCAGATTTGAAGGAAATTCCCTCCAGGCGTCCCTAAGACAAGCGGACGGACGTACAGACTTAAGGAAGTTTGGACGAACAACCCAAAAAACATAATGGCTCTGCCCGCAGGGGCATGACAAGTGATATACTGCAGCTGGAAGATACTGTTGAAAACTACATAATGATACTTATAAAATAACATTAATAACTATAATGAAATCTGAATGTTTGCTGGTTCTCCTGGTCTTCTATTTTATTAAACTGAACACATTTGGGCGTGGACTGATGGTTAGAGAAGTTTAAGGTGTCACATTGGGCTCTTTTTTAAACTATGTTCTGACATTTTATGGACCAAATGATTAATGAATAAAACAATGAGCAGTTTAAACAACTATGACAACAACAATGATCTGCAGTTCTAATCATGATCTTGTTTATGTAGACAGAATCAGACATGAAATAATGAAATAGATGTTCAATGCAATGAAATGTGTTACGCATTAAAATCTCTTCCCATGTATTTTAGGCTATAGTTTAAATACTATTTTGGAATCATTCATTTGTACATAATTTTGTAAAGCTTTATAACACGCTATGATCATCAAAATATAAAGTCGACAGACGATATCATTAAAAAGAAGGATCTACCATTCTCATGCCCTGTATCTTAATCAGGTCACAATCTAAAGCTTGTATTTGTTAGTATTCAGTAATCATCAGATCAAATATGTGTTTATTACCTGCAGAGAAATGGTACAGCACCATCTTGGACGACCACCATCTGAAAAATACTGATTAGCACCTCCTCAGGAAGACTTTGACCCCATCTGTGGTCTGTTGCTTTCTGTGGCACAAACAAGTCACTCTCCTTTTCCTTGGGAACTGGCATATTTGCCGGTTTAGCCATAGCATGGACTGTCTTCCTCTTCTTCTTCTTCTTCTTAATCTGTTTAGCTTTCACTTTTCCTTTAGTGAGCTTCTTCTTTTTGCTTCCCTTCTTTGGGAGGGTCCAGGCTGGACCATCGTACTGAGAAGTAGAACTCGATATGACAAGAAGCATGTCTTCCCCTTGATGGACAGTGTAGCCAGGCTGGGCAGGCCTGGAGACTCTGGCCTTTTTATGCTTCTTGGCTTTTGCATCTGTAGGCTTACCATTGGTCCTCTTCAACGACGCCTTCTTTGGCTTTGTTGGTCCAGCTTGTCCTTGGCCTGAGGTATTTGATGTGCTTGGCGCGGTGTCTTCTCTTCTCTCACTGTGGGTTGAAGCCTCTGCTTCTGTGGAGTCCATCATGTGCTGCTAATTAAGTCTTTATCCAGAGCTTCATTCAAAGAAAATCTGACATTGACGGACAGGTGACATATCGGCATCTGAAAATAGAATAAGAATGAGATCAGTCTGTATCTCCAAGAATGTTATCTAGCATATTTCCATATTTTGCAGGCAAAAAAAGGAATTTCTGGTTTACTTTTTTGAGGTATTTATTTAAACTAAGTTTTTTCTATTTTATGTTATTTCATGGTTCTGATCTTATTGCATTACTTTGCGTTAGTGAAACTATAAAAGTGCAAATATAATGATACACAGTGGGGAGTGTTGTTCAATCTACCCATATGTATGGTGTGTAACCCTGTGCTGACCATTTGTAGTCTAGGATACGGTAGGACTCCGTGGTTAATGTTTTTGTTGTCTACCAACGTTCAGCGTATTAAAAACGATTTTGATAATGGAAGACGAAGACAAGTTTACGTCTTCTACACACTGACTTCATCGTTTTCTGATGTGTTTTCTGTTTCAAACCTGCGTGCGCATCCCCGATTGTTTGTAAACGGAAGACCAAACAGTCACATCCATTCAAGATGTAGCTAGTTAATAACACATGATAATACAACGTTTTCTGAGGCGTTAAATACAAACTAAACATATACACATCATAGCATGAATGTCTGGCAACCCGGATGTGTTAACTAGCAGTTAGCTAAAGGAATCAAATAGGTTGTTAATGTCAACTAAGCTAACGATACTGGTACAATTACCGCTGGCTAGTTAGTTACCGAGTCGCCATGCAGCTTAACGAAACGTAGCACAACAATGGCATAGCAGCTGTTGCCACTTCAACAACAAACACAATTAAAAGTATATTTTCTGAAAATAAAAATAGTATTCTGTTGTTATTTTTGCATTACCTGCTGCTAGGCGGCTTGCAGCCTCCAAGTCTCAGTAGTAGACCCACAATGCATTTCACATCCCCTCTGTGATTGGTGGAAATCTCGACAACAGCCCACCTTCTATAAAACTATCCAATCACTGACCGGCTCACTGTTCCGTATTGACTTCACCACGCTGTGTTGACCAGATCAGGAACGAAGATGAGTTTCACGACGGTGTAGTCTCTGGGTAAGAACTTACGATTTTAAATGCCACTTTTACTGCTCGTACATTTGAAATAATTTGCAAATGCTACAGCATGCAACACTGTGCTTCTGCTCTGGTATTATTCACGGAGTATTGTAGTTTAGTACGCTGTATATCATACAGGCAAAGTTGGTACTAACACTAGCAAGTTGCTTACAAAAAAGGCTAACATTAGCATGCAGAGGTAACTAATGCAACATTAGCACTGATCTGCAGATGTAGCCTCAATGCTTGTATTCTGTAACGTTCTGAATATTGTTAGCGCCAGTAAACCACACCGATTGTATTGGGCTGTTGTTTAAATCTGCCTTTTATGGGAAAGAAATAAAAGTATTATTCTCGCACGAGTACAGCTAATAACGAATATCCAGGGGTTGTGGGAGGCACAACTTAACCCACATGTACGCAGAATAAGCCACATGTACACTCATTTCCAGTGTATACCTTTCAATAAACAATGCAGTCTAATACAACGGCCCTGCAGTAAACCCTCATGACGGTTATAGTGCTTATAGGAGTTATGATGAAACTCTTTGGGACAGGTGTCGATTAAACATGCTGTTGATTTCGGAAGCTGTAGTTCACGGTGCTGTTGAACTGTGGTCTGTTACGATGAGAGGCGTTAGTTAGTACTTTGACCCTCCTCTGTATATCAATGAAGGTAGACCAAATTTAATTTACACCTCCCACTACAACACAATACCGTTCAACAGCACCACCTCAACTACTAACCTCTTTAAATACAATTTAGCAACATTGATGTTAACTGGAATGACGAAACACATTCACAATTTATTTTCTTTTTCAGGGAAGGAGAATAGTTGCTTCACTGTGGTGTCATTGTGCACACTGATGCTGAGGGGAGGCATTTTTTCTGAAGGGTTTTATCAACAGGACAACACTGAAAGTATGACTCTTGATCCTGTTCTCTTTCATCTCTTTGCCATTCAGCAGCTCACACACTATATGAAACACTGACTGAAAAACACAAGTAATCGTTACTTGCTTGTTACTTGTTGCTAGTGCTGGGACGCACTTGTGCTTAACAGCATTATTGTCCTCCTACTGTTGGTATTGGTTTCCAGATTTGTTTATTTTCTCTGCTTTTTGAGGTTGAATGAGAGTGAATGGACCTAAAGCTGTGACAAACGTAATGAAAAACGACCTATCTTTAACTGTAATACATGGGAAACAAAGGGATGGTGGACATCAAAAACACAAATCTCAATTGAACTATTAAATTTCACACATGTAAGTTTCAATCAGGCTTTAGGTAGATTACACATAGAGGACAGTTGTGTTTCTGTACACACACCCCCTTTCTTCTTTAAATTGTTATACTTCTGCATGCTGATGAGTGCAACTTCTGTCTTTGTGTTTCTCTTTTAAAATAGCACACAATGGAGGAGAGACAGGATTTCTCGCTTTGTGGTAAAGCAGCTGTAACTGAAGCTAATCTGAGTAAGTAAAATGGCCATTTAGTAACGATGCTATATGACCTAATTCTCTATATAACACATGTAATACTTTACTTTGTTTTAGCATTATTGTATTTTATAATCCCAATACTAACAGAAAACTTTGCATCTTGAGTGGTTACATTGTTATTTTTCCGAAAGCCTAAATAAATACATTTAACAGAGTACAATTACACAATGTTTTAGCAACCTTCTCCATGCACTACTTTTCTGCTCACTTTCCAACTTTTCTGTTTTTCAGGAGACGAGTACTATTGGAAGCTTGTTGCAGACTTCATTGGTCCTCAATCGGGAGAAGGACTCGAGCTGGAAAAGGCGCCATGCAAGAACAGACTTTTGATTCAAGTAGGACTTATGAGAGAGGACAATAATTTTCCGTGGATGGCCATTGTATATTGGCTCACGAAAATCTTCCCCAGTCATCAATCGGCTGACTTTCGTCGTTTGATTGAAAGAGGCATCGCAACGACGTTGAGTCTGGGAAGTGATGCGAGGCTGACCTTTCTGGGATCAGACGCCAACTTTAACTTTGTCGGCCCGATATGTGACAGCATAGGAGTTGAACGGCAACATCTTTTGGAAATTAGGGATTTTTCAGAGCGAGCGCAGTCAATCGAAGTCACAAATGGATTGATTTTCGAGTTGAGCAACTTTGTTACCAGGGAGAAACTCGCACCAGTTGTTTTAGTCACTTGGCTTAGAAACTTCAACTCTGACTTCTGTAAGAATGGGGATATTCAAAAGGCATATAAAGTCCTAAGGGCCAAGATAAAAAAGTTAAAACTGCATTACCGCAATTATGAGACAAGGAGTCACAGGAGGAACACGGCGATGGAAAATCTGCTTCAGAGCCCATTTGAACTTGTGCGGAAAAGGGCAACACGATATATTGTGAAGAAACGTATGAAAAGAGAGGACGTCATACAATATGAAAAAGTTACAATTAAGGAGGAATACGAGAGCTATGAGATCATGCAAGACGAAGAGTCCGAGATGAACAGAGAAGGTGTGAGGAAAATGACACTGCAAGATGATGTCTCTGCGTGCGATGAAAGCGATGAGGACTTTGATGAATCCAGCAGTGGAGAAGACACCTCGGATGAAACACAAGAGTCGCTGAACCTGCTCGACATTGCCATGGTGTCTGTCCAAAAGCTGTCAAGTATGTATGGTGAGAAGAATGAAGCGTGCAGGCAAGTTTGCTTGGATCTCCTCAAAAATCAGTATGCTCTGACATGCAAGGAGCATCCGGCCATGGCCGAGTTTGAGAAAAAACTGGACGCGCTCTGTGGGGACATGTCACTCGTTTACCCTGTGGTGTTTTTAAACTACAACGCCAATTTCCTCGTCAAAATGCACGACGCCGTGGAGGAGCAGATCATGGGCTTTGAAAAAGAGATCATTCTGTCGACGGGAGAGAAACTCGGCCGCGACAAGCTTCCGAAATTCAAGAACTTTGTGAATTTGTCCGAAAGTGCCACTTCGCGCTACATCCACATGGCTTGTGATGTCTTGAGCACCAGCATCCCCGGCACGCAGAACTACAGGAAACACTGGGTAGCCTTCTGTGAGGAGAAGAAAAACCCCTCCAGACTGGCAGTAAATCAGTCAAACCGATTCACAAACTACTTCCAAGCTGCGGCGGGTCTCATCCACCATCACAGAGAGATGGCTCTCTTCTTCTCCGATTTGCTGTCGATGTTTAACGACGAGTGCCCGAATATTATTTTGGAGTGTGTTGCTGCTGATGCCAACGACTGTATGATACAAAGCCTTGTGTGTGTTCTGGCCATCGTTTACTGCAAAATCCTCGGCCCTTACTGGCAGCTCCTGAAAAGCGGAGGCGAGTACTCGCTCTACAGCCAGTACATGCTCTGTCTCTATCAAAAATTCCTCGATTGGTCCAAAGATCCTTCAACACTGCTGGAACCTGAAGGGACCACGAATGTTTTTCTGCAGTTCCCGTTGCAGGAGAAAACCTTTGATGGAGTGTTTCATTTCTGTGGCCAGTGGCACACGAACAGGGACTTAATCCGATCTTGCTTGAAGAGGTTGGTAAAGGTGATTGCTGCCATCACTGAGGAACACCTCAAGGATTTCCTGCCAGGAGGAACATTTTCTAAAGTCCCATCACCAGATCTGAGTCTACAAATGGTGAGTTGCACATTCTCCGTCTTGATGGCGGAGTATCCCTCCAACCAGACGTACCCTTGCAAGAAGGAAAACAAACCAAGCGCCCCAAAGTCCTCCAAGCGCTCCCCGCGCAAGAGCTTGGAAAGTTCTCAGGGAGATGATGGCCGATCTGGTTCATCTGATGGCAGCTCCGATGAAGCTTCCGGTCGGTGGAAGAAAAATAATACCCAAATTGGCCAGAAAGACGCTCTCAGTCCGCAGATGAAGAAAGGTCCAAGTGTTAAAAAAGAAAAGGCACCAAAGGTACCCGAAGTGCGCGAGGAGAACATGGATAGGGACTACATAATAGCCACGGTGAGCAGAAACGGGGGGCCGTGCAAGTCACAACCAGATGTGGACAAAATGATGCTGCGCTTTGATGGGAAACCCCGAGCTGAAAAGCGGGAAGCAGTCCGTTGTGAGATCTTGTACCAGAAGATGGTTCTGAACAACACGGACCGGAACTTGTATGGCGTCTTCAACAACTCCACACAAATGGGGATGAAGCTGAAGCTCTCACTTCCCCGAGTCAAACCTGGGTACTCTCTCGTTTGGGCGCCTAGAAGGACGAAAATAAAGCGTGTGCTCCAAGACGCGCCCGATGCTGCAGCTGGTTTGAGTGAAAACAGCGGCACATGAGGGCTTTCATTGCATCTAAAAAAGAAAGTGTGATATTGAGGGAAGGGAAATATGGCCTGATTTCCTCATATGATTTTTACAGTTGCAAAGTAATCAAAAATACACACAATGACCTCAATCTTTTCACACAAATGATGTGTATTATACTCTAGATATCAGATTCAGCTGCCGTGTGTGTTACACACTGTATTGTCAATGCCAATAGTTGAAATTATGAAGTCTGATTTTGTGGCTCTTATACTTTTGATATTGCCGTATAATTTGCATGGTGCTGTATTGAAACACGGCTTTTTATTAACTTTTTTTGTTGCTGAGAAGGAGCCTTATAATTTTATTCAAGGTCAGTCAATAATCACTCCTGACTTAAAAGATGTATGAACCACTGACAGAATAAACATCTTTGTGTGTATTTTGTTGATGTTTACTCTGTCAACCTGTGTGATAAGCTAATGTCTAGTTATTGGGACAAGAGTTCAGTCTTTCAAAATCAACTCAGCTCAAGTTAATTTTCCAGCATCTGTCAGGGTTTTGGTTGATGTAAGTCAAATAATAACTCTTCTGTTCCTCAGATTCAATGGGTATTTGTGGTGGGATCGCATGCAATGTCAACGAGTTAATAGAAGAGGTGACACTGAGGAACTCAAGGAAATAGGGCGGCACTAAAGAAAGAGGGGTTTATTGACACTGTGCCAAATGTTAAGGCCTTGATTAGTGTATTTATTAAATAAACCAAGCCCGCTATGAGTCTTAGAGTCCCTGCACGTTAAAATTAACAGCCATTTGATTCAATATTGGAATTGCTTATGCACTTGCTTTTGAAGCAGAAGACAGCTTTGATACATGTCACCACAGAAAATATGAACATATTTACAGCTACTCGGTGCATGAATCATATCCAGCAACGAACTGTCAAATAAAAGTCGCAAGTGTAACCTTTTTTAGGGGAAAGAAAATGCTTTTTATGAGTTATCTCGGAGACCCCGCCCACATCACTTGTCACAGCTCATGAGGGGTTTCTGTAACGATGGTGCCTTCACGTTCCTCGGAAAACTGATGGAGTAATAACCCGGGCGTGATAGTTAGTCACATATACCAGTCACAGTTAAGTTTAGGGACTGATTTTTTTTTTTACACAAAAATGGATAGTCCATGGAATAGGAATCGATGTACGCGCAAGTAAGAGGCAAATGTTTGAATTAAAGGCGAGAATATAATGTAACATCACTAGTTTCTCACTCAATTGGAGCACAATTTACGTCTGTCAGAGTGAATAGGCAAACAATGTCAACTATGACGTAGGAATTTACGAGGGGTAAGCGAAGGCAACAGAAGGGGCGGGAACTTTGCGCAAGTGTCCACTATTCTTCAAGTCAGGGCAGCATGAATGGGAAGAACGCACTCATTGTTTAACACAAACTTGTTATCAGCATTGTGTTCGTTATTTTGGCCGGAGTAAGCTTCACCATGTCCGGTAGCTGGTGGAGCAGTGCAGCGGTGACCCACGGGCTGGTGGCTCTGTTCGCCATGGGCTCCTGGGTTTCCGTCAACAGTCTATGGGTAGAGCTCCCGGTGATAGTCAACGTGCTGCCCGAAGGTCAGTAGTCCGCTCCGAGAGATAACAAACGTTCATCTTATCTGGATTTGGCCTATTAGTTTAAATCATTTGTTATAACATAGTCACCTCATTTTGACCCTTTGTTTATTGTTCAATATTTGGTGGTGTCTTCATTTAACGTGAGGTGAAACCCTGCGACGTGAACGCAAGCTTGTAGCGTGAACGCGAATTCTAGCTAACGTTAGCTGTAGGTGTACTTACTGCAGGTGTAACGTCACTATTGTGACTGTATTACTATTATCGTTTCTAATATCAGGATTGCGAAATACTAACGTTACATGTAAATATGTAAAAGACATGGCAGTTACGGCTATAACGTTAATAGTATCTATTAATACAAATAGGAACCAGAACAACACGTTACCTCTTTTCAGTGATGGAATAAAATCATTCGAGTGCTCAACTCAAGCAGGTGTTTCTGTCGGTTAGGTCAGTTTAAACGTACTTAATAATGGCGTTACTTCATGTTTTTTCAGTACATTTCAGAGGGGAACATTAAACGTATTATTCCACTACATCTATTTGGCAGCTGTAGTTGTTACAAAGCATGTTTTCAGTTTAAAACATGTATTATTGTTATGGTCAGATTAACGTTATATTAACTAATAACAGCACCTCCACCAGCTACACATTTAAAATACTGCTTACAGGTCAATCCATTTATAAGAATAATTAATCCAATGATTTATTTAACAATAAAGACACAATGGGTTCCGAGAGCTGTTACATGTCTTGCAAGCAAATTCCTTTATTTAAATGTTGTTGTAGATGCGTTGTTATTGAAATAAATCCAAACTTTATGAAGTATCACTCCAACAAGAGAAGTAGAAGCCTAAAAATGAACTAAAAATGCTGGATAGGTAATTTAAAATAAGTTTGTTACCGTTTCTGATACAAGTTGCATATACAAAAAACAGTCATAATTGTTTAATTTTAAGATGTATAAACTATAGTGAATATGTTTTTTAACCGATACAGATCATTGTCTTTCCTTGTTTTAGGGTGGAACCTGCCTGCCTATATCTCACTGCTGATAGCGTTTGGGAACATCGGTCCAATAGCAGTGACCATCACACACCACTGCGCTCCGGGGCATTTAAACGAGCGCCTGGTCATCCACTGCATCCAGGTGCTGGCAGTCGTGGCGTCCGCTCTTCTGGCCATCTTCTGGTCGCACACCGTCACGATAGCCGGAGCGGAAAGGTCACTGCCGTTCCTGCTCTTCACCTTTGTGATGTCATTGGTCTGCTGTACCTCCAACGTCACCTTCCTGCCCTACATGTTTAGCTACCCCCCTCAGTATATTCGTACTTTCTTCATCGGTCAGGGCTTCAGCGCCTTGTTCCCTTGCATTGTGGCTTTAGGGCAAGGCGTTAGCAAGCTGGAGTGCAAAACTGTGAACGGCACTGTGCATCCGCAGTATTTGAAGGAGAACTTTCCTGCGCAGAACTTCTTCTGGTTCCTGTGTGTCATGCTGTCGATCTCGGCTCTGAGCTTCCAGGCTTTGATGCAAAGGCAGACGAGGTTGCGGGACAATGCACCGCAACAGGAGGCTGACAATGCAGCGGCAAAAAACGGAGAGGAAACGCACCCGCTGCACACCGGGGGGGCGCCGGTGTCTGAGGATCAGGTGCGGGTGGAGGAACAGCCGCAGACATTTTGGACACGGCGGAACATTTACCTGCTGTCCCTGCTCACCGTCTCCAACGCCCTCACCAACGGGGTCCTGCCGTCCGTGCAGAGTTTCTCCTGTTTGCCTTATGGACCCATTACCTTTCACCTCTCCGTGGTCCTTGGCAACATAGCCAACCCCCTGGCCTGCTTCTTCGCTATGTTTGTTATCCTGAGGTGAGAAAATATAAGAGAAGTTGAACACATGCATTACTTTTTAGATTGTGTAAGACATGTTTTTTAATGGGCTCTGTTGTTGTCCTCCAGGTCCTCTGCTGGTCTGGGCCTCTTGTCTTTAGCAGGAGGAGTATTTGCTGCATATCTCATGGCCTTAGCAGCACTCAGCCCTTGCCCTCCACTTTTGGGAACCTCCGCTGGCATGGCCTTAGTGGTGAGTGGAAATACATATTTCTAAATTTGAATGTACTATGTATTGGGACACAGTAAATCTTTTGCCGGCATACTTAACAGTATGCTAGTACGGGTATTGGAAGGCACAGTTGATGTTCGTCATATCACATCCTTAAAACACAGAAGCTAAAGCCTCGTCTGTTTCTTTAGCCCTGTCCACCGTGTCCACCACTGATTTCAGCTACCTGCTTGTGCCCCCTACAGGTCACCTCTGGAATCATTTTCACGGGACTCTACTCCTATCTCAAGGTGGCGATTGGGACTCTGCTGCACGAGGCGGGTCACGCCGCCCTGCTGTGGGGCGGCATCTCTATCCAGGCCGGCTCCCTTATCGGAGCCCTCACTATGTTCCCTTTGGTCAATGTCTACCAAGTGTTCGAGCGGGCTCAAGAATGTGTGGATAACTGCACCACATAGTTCCCATTCGTTCGACAAGGCAACTGACTGTTTTAACCCAGTTTTTGGGGCTCCAGGGTGAAGGACCAGATCAGTCCTCTCCTGATTCAGAGGCCTCGGGGCCTGTGAAAACATTCCTAGATAATGGAAGCATTGTTATGCTGCACATTGGCCAAGGGGATGTAAAATGCATATGATGCAGTAATACCACAAGTGCTTTGTGTGGTATTTTGAATCTCTGTGGCAAAAACCAGCTGAGGGATTTTTTCCCCACAACAGACCACGAGAAACATTCTTTACTCAGGGACACAATCATTCACTTATTCATCCACATTTGTTGCTCAGTCTAATTAATGAGAAATACTCACACTAGTAGTTGCAAACTGCAGACAGGCCTTTCACAGGAACTCATTTCTTTGGAAAAATGACGATAACATAAAAATGAACGAGGTCATGTCCATATATCGTACGAGAAGTCAATATGGTAATTATTGTGGCAGGCTAACCACAGATCCCGTCCACACAGAATGGAACGTAGGAGTTATTTTTTGTGGCCATTTTCAAATGTTTGTCTACCTCGTCGCTTTGATTCCATTGTGAGCATATAACATGACTTTATTTAGCTTCAGTCATTTATACAATTCAGTTGAGTCAGCGATTATGAAAAGTGTATCATTTGTAATATAGCTACTTTTAAACATACAGTTCATAAATGCAGTGACTTGACTTCATGCCAAATTTATTTCTGTGCCTGAAAAATGGTGAACTTTATAAAACACGGGGTTTCCGTTTACTTTGGACTCGATTGTGGTTCTGATCATGTTTTATACTTTAGAATTATAGTTTATTTACTCGTCATTTGGGATTTTTATTCATTCCAAATACAGTAACGTTATGTCATCTTAAAGGAACAGCTGGCCAAGCAAAGTAACGGTTAACAGTTTTGGTATCCAAAGGGATACTGTCATCTCAGTCTTTTAAACGTAATAATAATTTATGTCTTATGTACTTCTTCTACCTTGTAAGGCAATTTATGAACCATGATGCTACCGTACATCCCATTTAATTACTTTATTAAACTCAACAGGTTTACAGAGGAAAAGTATTTGTTAACGGCGTCTTCATTTTATGTTGTTTTTTTTAAAAGATCAATCTGTTAAATTCTGAGCTGATTTTTGTGGTGGAAAAAAATAATCAATAGTACCGAGTGAGTCCTACGATACTGGAATTAAGAAACATCGAGGAAAGAAGTTTGTCTTTAAAGTATTTATTCTCTGCGCAGAGACGGTTCAATCGTCACACAGAATGCAATGCGGTCTGAAGGAGGAAGGACCCAGAGTGTTGGTTGTGTACGACTTATAGAGGCCTTGAGCACATGGTGGGATCGGAGGAGCTCATCACTAGGACATCTGGACAACAGTGATCATTCACTGATCAACCATTGAATTGTTGATCACTGATCCCCATTCAGCCCCCCATCTAAGTTGACAGTATCACGCCCTTGATTAAGACACACACCTAATATTACTCAACCTGAGAGGACCCCTACTGACCATGTCTGACATTGATTCACTTTGTTAATACAGAAAGGGCCAAAACACTGAGTGGTCAGACAATAAGAACAGATAGATAAGTCATAGTGGAAATTAGCCATCACAAGGTTTACAGAGGAAAAGTATCTGTTAACGTCTTCATTTTATGTTGTTTTTTTTTTAAAAGATTAATCTGTTCAATTCTGAGTGACTGTAAATGGACTGGTTGTTGAGCGATTGAGGTGCTTTTTCTTTATTTCATGACTCACCATTTTACGTGGAGTTAGTTTTTTTAAATTGATTTTCAAATTGCTGATGTTGAAGTGTATTATGAAGTCTACGAAATCAATGGTAAACAATAAAGCTACTGATCTGAAGAATTTGGACTAGTTTCCATTTATTCATTACAAGAATAAAGTATAAAAATATATATATTTAAATAAAGTACACATTGAAGAACATTGCTAGTTACATTGCAAAACGTGAAAATAAAGGAATGGTCCCGATATTTTGGGAAACCAAGAGTTTATGTAACACTCATGTTTGTATGCAAATTATGAAGGTATGGCCAGTTAGCTTAGCTTAGCATAAAGACTGAAAACGGGGGGAAACAGCTAGCCTGGCTTTGTCTCTAAAGTTCTTTAATGAACATGTTTCATCTCATTTGTTTTATTCTTATGGAAATCAAAGTGAAACTAAGACATGTTGTGGTTTCACGAGGGGAACGTACGAGACTATTTCTTAGTCGGGTGGACTTTGATCAATTAGCCAAGCCATTTCCCCCTGTGTCCAGTCTTTACGCTAAGCTAAGCTAACTGGCTGTTGTCTTATTTCTAACTGACATTTATGAGAGGGATATTGATATTCACCACTAACTATTTCTCAAGAATGTTGAACTTTTCCTTTAAATATTGGACATATGATGACTCACTTGTTCAATTCAATAAACACAGATTGGCTTTAGTTCATTTGGATTTTTGTTTACATACGATTATATTAATCCTTTTTCTATTTTTTAGAGCATGGGGTTTTTGTAATAACCTGTCCGCCATTTTCACCTCTTGCTCCCATGATCCCCTTAAGCAGTATTAGCAAATTCTTGAATGCGTCTCACTGATAAAAAAAAAAAAAATGCCTCAAGGCAAAAAAACAAACAAAAAAGTTGCAGTTGCAAAACACAACGTGATGTTTACTGATCATCCTCAAAGTCCCGGCAGTGAAGGTACTTAAGGTTGAGACAATGAGCGGTTAACAAGACATGTGTCATGGTTGGCTACATGTTCTCACACCCACTCGCCCCTGAGGAGGTCTTAATTTCTTGGTACACACACACACACACACACACACACACAGAGTTTACTGCAAAGGACTTTGGCTTCCTTCTCTCTGCAGAAAACTCCAAACTCTCCACCGAGCAGCATGTGAGTATCTGCAGGGATGCATTTCATCCATTTAATTGGTTTTAAATGGTGTGTCAGGGAAACTCTTTTGTACAGAATGTCAATCAAAATGTGTAGATGTTTATTTGATGATTAGATAATATTCTAATGTCTGTACGCTGAATATGAATTTAACTAAAAAGCACGATTGTGCTGAAAGATCTAACTTCTCTTCCGACTCTTTCTTTTCTCTGATCAAAGACTCTTTTCCCAATAAACAATGCACCGGTCAGATGTTTTCTCAGGTTATGTAACAGTTACCAGAGCAGCAGGTGGCCATGTTGTACTTTGCTGTATGCTTGGTGTTTTAAGCGGGTTTAACCCACACCCTGCCTGTGATCAGAAGAAAACAACCAAACGTGGATGAAATCACGTTTCTGCTCACGTGGCCGACGGCGAAATCTGCACAAAATCAAACGGCGTTCATTTCATATTAAACAGACGGTAAACATTAACCACATGCAGGATCAAGTCACACACACACACACACACACACACACACAGCCATTTAACGAGTGCTGCAGGAGGGATGCTACTTGGTGGTCACACATTAATCTGTGATTTTGAGTTTATCGTTGACATTTCCTTCACTTGTCTTACTGTTTGTACTCACTTTCATTCTCATTCTTTGCTGCTGCGATGATGCAGTCAAACCCCAAAGATGAATTGAGTTTTCTTCTTATATTGCAAATATAATTACAAGATTACTCTATAATACTTTACAGGTCCATCAATTTCTAATATTTTGAAAGAACTGTATAATCTGGTACTGATTAACAAGGAAATACCTTGTTTATTTTCATTGAGAGAATGGCTCTATTTGAACCCAAAGTAATGATTCACGTATTATTTATTTCTGAAAACTTTATTCTTCATAAACGTTGAATTGCATCGCCTTGTGTTCATGTTCAGCTGACCTGCTGTGCAACGACTAAAAGGTTCTCCAGGTCGCACACTTCATTTGTATGAACTAATTGTTGTTATGCTAACTGAATACAGTCTTTGTTGTCTCATATTTTATAACGAATAGCATAGTTCTCTCCAGAAAATACATTTATACGAAAACATTAGGAAATGACGGAGCTGTAAAATAAATCGTCAGCAGTGACTCAACACATTCCACTGAAAAACAATACGCGTGGATATATAAATGAGACTATGAATTGTGTTTTGGGGTGAACTGTCCCTTTACAGATAGTATTACCCTCTGGTTTGCAGCCACAATGTATAAAAGACCACCTAAGAGTCTACAGTAGAGCTGTGAATATCAATCAATAAGTTATCATCCTATAAATGAATTGCCAACTATTTTGATAATCGGTTTGACTCATTTTTTCAGGAGAGAAAAAGTCAAAATTCTCTGATCTCAGCTTCTTGAAAGTGATTTATTTTTGGTTTCTTTACTCCTCTGTGACCGTAAAGGGAATGTCTTTGAGTTGTGGACAAAACAAGACATTTAAGGAAGCCATCGTGAGCTTTGGGAAACACAGATTCACTTTTTTCACCTCTTTCTGAATATTTTTAGACAAAACGACTGATTGAGTAAAATAATTATTGACAGATGACAATGATAATGGTAGCCCGAGTCTACAGCCATGCACACAATGACACGCTGATGTTTAGCAGGTGGAATGTTGACGAAGGTCACCTTCTTAGTTTAGCATGTCAGTGCTAACATGTGCTAAACACACAAATACCACAAGAGGCAATTAAAGCGTTTTGCAGGAATTTGGTGACCAAAAATATTAGATAAACTGTGATTTGCACATTTTTTTTATGATGAAATTATAACCCAAATATGGTGCAAAATGAAAAGTTAAAGGGAACATTTGGCACCTTTTATGTGAATGTCCAATTAGTGTTATTGATAAATCAGTGTGTGCTACAAGACCAACGGAAGTTTGCCGTGTCTTACTTCCTGGCTGCTGAGTGGGAATGAGGGCGACGTTGGACAGATGCTGGCGTGCAATGCATTGTTGGGGAAAAAACCCAAATGACTAATTATCATGCATTTAATAATTAGTGAATGTTATACATTTAACATTAGCTCATGTCCTCTGTAAGTGTTTAGAGATGTGTCCTCAAATGGTTTCGTGTGAACTTCCTGTGACACTCGGTGTCTCAGCAAATGTTTAGTCTATGAAGAAGCAGTTGACGGCCGAAAGAACACTTCAAGCTGTTTACCCTAAATAAGCCATAATAAACCTGTAGAGGCGTCAATACTCACGCCTGGCTGATTTGCGACCATGACTTCCTGATTACGATAAAGTGACCTTTGTACTAGAACAAATTGTTAAAGTGATGTTCCAGATACTCTACGTACTGTGTGAAACGCAATTCATGTGTTATCCCTTTGTGACGTAAATGACCCTGTGCCAGCCCGCTGCATGTTGTTTACTCAGCATGAATATCAAGAGACTCGGAGACAGATCTCCGAGCAGCCTTGAGCTACATTTCGTATGTGATTCAACTCTGTTCCTTCTTGCAAGAATAAATGTCCTGTGATAGTGATTTTTTACATCGGCTTGAGTGAACTTTTCTAACAGCATCCTGGTACGTGTAGGCGCTGCCAGCACGGCTCCGTAAGCAGGAGAAATCTGCTTTCTGGTTGGAGAGCCACATAAAAAGATGACAAATTTTCCTTGCAAGTGATCCACCAGAGGCGATAGGATGTATCATCTGGGGATCAGGCATACATGTACCAGAATTCATAGCAATCGATATAGTAGTTGGGTTGAGGTCAGACTTCATTTGATAAAGTTGGGATGCAACTAACCATAATTAATACACAAATAATGGATTTGTTTCCTAGCACTAGAAACACGCCTCCAACATGTCCCTTCTCACCCACCTGTTGGCGTGTCTGTTCGGGATGGGCTCCTGGGTCTCCATCAACGGGCTGTGGGTGGAGCTGCCCCTCGTCGTCCCCCACATCCCCGAGGGTTGGTACCTGCCCTCGTACCTCTCCGTCCTCATCCAGATGGCCAACGTAGGGCCCCTCTTCGTCACCCTGATGCACCGCTTCCGGCCCGGCGCCCTGAACGAAGCGGCCGTCATATACGCGATCATCGGCCTGGGCACGGCCGCGAGCTTCCTGCTGGCTTTTTTCTGGAAGGAGACCGTGGTGGTGGCGGGCGCTCCTCGCAGCGTGGCCCTGCTCGTCTTGACTTTCTTCATCGCCACCGTTGACTGCACCTCCTCCGTCACCTTCCTCCCCTTCATGATGCGTCTCAAGGCTCGGTACCTGACCACGTACTACATTGGGGAGGGCTTGAGCGGCCTGCTGCCTGCCCTGGTGGCTCTGATCCAGGGAGTCGGAGTGGTCCACTGCATAAACAGCACCGGGTCTTTCAACCACACCCTGAACTCTTCCGACAGCTCCGTGACCTTTGACCTGCGGGCCCAGTATCAGCCGGCCAACTTCTCCGCCGAGGTGTTTTTCTTCTTCCTCAGCGCCATGATGCTGGTGTGCCTGGTGGCGTTCCTGCTGCTGAACTACCACCCGTCCGTGGCCAGGGAGCGTCCCAGCGGTCGATACACCAACGAGGGGAAGGAGAAGTCGGAGAAGGACAGGAAGTGGGCGGAGCAGAAGCCCATGATGGATCCGTACAGACCTGCGAGCCAGAAGCGCAGGAGCAGCTTCGGTACAGGCTTGTACAGCTGGACGCAGGTGTTGTACATCTTTGTGATCCTGGCCTGGGCCAACGCTCTGACCAACGTGGTGCTTCCCTCGGTGCAGTCCTACTCGTGCCTGCCGTACGGGAGCAACACCTATCACTTATCAGCCACCATGGCTGCTGTAGCAAACCCTCTCGCCTGCTTCATCGCCATGTTCTTCCCCGTAAGGTCAGTGTGTGGCTTGATACACCTTTTTCACTACATTAGTCAGTTTGATTTCAATAGCTCAAAATCACAAGTTTGCCTTGAAGCTAATAATAACTATTAAAGATTATTGATAATAATAGGGGCAGCCTGCGAGACCCTCTATCCTAGAACCTCAGTTTGCATGAGAAACTAGAATTACCGCCTCACGGTTGTACGCCTCCACCAACCAGTCAAGTTGTAGTTTGTACCCATGTCTTGCTTTCTCTCTACTGACCAGCAGGGGGCGTCTCCTCCAGATGCAAAAAGAAGTCAGATTGTATAGAAATCTATGAGAAAATGACTCTACTCCTCACTTGATTTATTCCCTCAGTAATAAACATTGTAAACATGAGTTTATGGTCTCAATCTCTAGTTTCAAGTCTTCTTCAATACAGCATGATGTTCATTTAGTAGATTATGGTCCATTTAGAGTCAAACAGACCATAAAGCAGGGTATGCTTTGACAATTCCATTCATTGGTTGCAAAAAAGACAAGATGGCGACGACCAAATCGCTGATCTCGAGGCTTCATAACAGCAGTCCACAAACCAATGGGTGATGTCACGATGACCACGTCCACTTCTCATATACAGTCTATGCAATTAGCATAGGAATTCTTTATTTATGGCCAAAAAGTGACATTTGACCATCAAATTTGAATTAGTTCATCTTGAGTCCAGGACATTTGTGTCAAATTTGAAGAGATTCCCTGAAGGTGTTCCTGAGATATCGCGTCCACGAGAATGGGAACACGTGTACACGGACAACACGGACACGTAATGCCTTCAGGTCACGGCAACATGAACACCCTTTAAAAAGGAAAATTAATTAATAAATAAAGCAACTTATTTTTTAAACTTCACAGGTTTTTAAATGTTCTTGAGTGTTTTTTTCTTCTGGTTCTAAGTCCAAAATGCATAGAATCAATTCTAATTTGTTTTTAGTATTTTGTTTCAAGATAGTGACAAAAAAAAAAAGAGTTCACAGTTGATTTATATTGGAAACTGAACTCCCCCTTTTGTTGTGTATGAATAAATTGTGTGGAGTATTATGTCAATCTTTCCCCAGATAAACCTAAAGGACAAATTCAGTTGTTTGGATGACTCATCAAAATGACAATGGGTAAAGGGTAATGTGTCATTTCCCCGCAGATCTCTGCTGCTGATGGGCGCTCTCACGGTGACAGGAAGCGGGGTCGGAGCTTATATAATGGGCATGGCGGCGCTGAGTCCGTGTCCACTGCTGGTTCATGGAACTTCCGGCGGCGTCGTCATTGTGAGTAGGACACTGTTCGGCTATGCTTACCTTTCTCGCGTGGGCGTTACTGAAACACCACATGCAGGCAACCGACATGGAGTTAATTGTAGGTTTCAAGCTCACCTCCGTCTCCCTCCACCAGGTGCTGGCCTGGGTCCTGTTTATTCTCACTCTGTCCTACGTGAAGGTGATCATCGGGCTGATCCTGCGCGACGAGGGCCACGGCGCCCTCGTGTGGTGCGGAGCGGTAGTGCAGCTGGGCTCCCTGCTGGGAGCCGTGACCATGTTCCCTGTGGTCAGCGTGTACAGCCTCTTCTCATCCGGGGACCCGTGCAACACGAAATGCCAATAAAGACTCGACATCCGTGTGTGAACCGAGATATTCAACGGAGGGGACAATTGAATGTTATGTTCTTTTTACCACCATTTTTGTTTTGTTTTTACTTGGCAACGTCTGAATCTGAGCATGACATTTGTTACAAGAAAAGCTATAATGTACAGACCGTGCTGCTGCAGACAGGATGAACACTATTTATACTAGTATTTGCACGTTATGAAAATACACCACTTACAAGTAAAACTCCAACATTCAAAAACCGTACTTAAGTAAAAGTGCTCGCTGTGCAGTGAAATGTTCCCTGTCAGTGTTTTACTATTCTATATATATATGATGTGTCTGGATTAATATTACTGCAGCATTAATGCATATGTTGCATTGTAACTCCTTCATATCGGGCTGACTATAGTTTAATCTGCAGCAATGCATCATATTCTATAAGATCATCACATGTTTGGATAGCATCGCTGTCCTGTTTCAGATTCATGAAGATGCATTTTCCAGCTGATTCAACACGCCTTTTTAAATTAGTTTAATTAGCTCAAGAAGTAGGAAAACATTTTCAACACATAAAGAAATACTTCACCCTTTCTGTTTATCACTAACATTGAAAATCCCCAAATTTGGATATCATGTTTTTTTTCCTGGACAGTAGGACATGTAGTGGAGTAAACAGTATACTATGTTCGCCCCAGTGGAGGAGAAGTACATGACATCAAATGGTAAAACTCAAGAAAAGTACAAGTATGTTGAATTTGTATTTAAGTAGGCTAGTGCTTGAGTACATGTACTTATTTATAATCCACCACTGTATGAAGCTACCCTGGCAGCTGTATGTGTGGTCATGCTATATAGCCAGAACTATAATTATTTGGGATAAAGCAACTTTTTGCCTTGATCCCTTGATCCCTTAAAAAAACTTTTTATCAGCCAGGAGCAAAAGTCCATTGAATTGGCAAATAAGTAGTAATATAATAATTCTGCAATCACAATATTTTATTTACAAGTGGCATAATCATATTGTTTATTGCATGGTATAATGTCATACTATGCAATAAACAATATGATGTAATGATTACACTATAAATATATAATCCCAACATTACTGAAAGAACACAACGTACTTCTTTATATGTCGACCTGACTGGGACAACTTACAGTGGTCCGAACCCTGAAAACAGCCTCCAGACTAAAGGGACACAACGGGATAAAGACACGGCTTGTCCACGTTTGTGGCCACAGGACAAAGTCTGGTGACATGGCTGTACAGCTCAACCTAAAACCATCAAACAATATTTTTTCTGGTTGTAAAATCTATAGTTTTCTAAAAAATATCCTAAAAGATAAAGTCTTCTGTAAAAAATGATGTCCTCTTAATTTACATATTATTTTAATATGATCATATCATTTCCATTATTCATTCTTTGATTTTCATTTTGAAAGAAACCGGCAAAAATGATGAATCATTTGGTCATCAACCTGCCGTGGCTCCTTATTAAACCAATGGTATAATTTCTCCATCAAAGCATTATTGTTTTGGCTAAACGTCCATCAAGCATTTCAAATCTAGATTACCAGATTTCTACAATCAGATGATGTGAGAATACACTTGTGTACACAAGTGTACACTTGCGCTACGCTTCCGGTTTGAAAGTGAAGCCAATGCAGAAGTGTCTTAAACTGGCTCTTTCTAAAAGCCAGCAGGGGGCGACTCCTCTGGTTGTATAGAAGTCTATGAGAAAATGACTCTACTTCTCTCTTGATTTATTACCTCAGTAAACATTGTAAACATGAGTTTATGGTCTCAATCTCTAGTTTCAAGTCTTCTTCAATACAGCATGATGTTCATTTAGTAAATGATGCTCCATTTAGAGTCAAACAGACCATAAAGCAGGGTATGCTTTAGGGCGGGGCTACCTTATGATTGACAGGTCACTACCACGGCGTTGTCCGGTCTGGGAGTCGTCCATGTTTTTTGCCTTTGAACTTTAACCCTTTTTAGTTCATGAAAGTTAATATTAGCATTTTTGGTTGCCTAAAAATGTCTTAATTAGCGTTCGATTCTATTTACCCTCTTATGTTACATATGGTTGCCAAAAAACAAGATGGAGACGGCTAAAATGCAGAATTTGACCCATTACATACACTTAAAAGGCACGCACGACCGGCCTGTCTGCGTCAACAAAGCCCAGGGAAGCTCACATTACAAAAAATTCTTGTCATGGTGTAATCGAGACCTGTACTGAATTTGCATCCGGCTGGAAATTGGGAGGGTCTTTGTTTACTTCTGACCCGGTACTATGTTTTTTATATATTCATTCTGTCTATCCTTCTTTATTGTAAAACACATTGTGTTGCATTTCTTGTATTAAAGGATTGAATACAAATAAAGTTATTAATATTATTATTGTTGTCATGATTAACATTATCATATAATTATATAATAATAATAATTATTATTATAATAACAATTATTTTTATAATAATAATTGTTATTATTATTACTTAGATATTACTCCTTTATATATTTACAGAGCAAATAGTTTTGCTGCTACATCAATGCTCTGCATGGCGCATAGAAAGGCTTTAAGAAGGCAAGCAGCTTCCCCTGGGTGGAGAGGTAGAGCACTGGATGCACAACACTCGCAACAGACAGCAAGAAGATAGATGCTGGAATCACCAAACATTGATAAATGAATGCCTCCTCATATGTTAAGATTTGCATTAAAGTAACTGGAAGGTAACAGGACATGGTGAGGATTGAGGTGGCACAGACAGTCTTAAAGGCTCTCTTCTTGACAGGGTGCATCTCGTCTCTCCCCGGGCCGGACTTCTTCAGCGCCCTCGCAATCATGACGCTGCACCCCACCATCATTGTCACCATTGACAACATCACGCTTGATGGGAGTCGATTCAACACGGACTGCATGAGGATGGAGGAAACGCTCAGACCCAAAACACTCAGCGAAGCACAGGGCACAGAGAGGAGCCACACCGTGAGAGCACATACCTCCCTGAATCTGTATTTCTTCAGCAGAGGATAAGATGTGGGGTGAATCACTGCAACGTATCTCTCCAGGCAGATATAAGACAAACTCATTGGCCCCCCGATTTGTACGTACACTAACAGAAACCTGGAGATTAGTTGGTGGGTGTCTGTCATCACCAACAGGCAAATTAGATGGAAGAAGGAGATCCAGTACTGGAAGTAGTGGAAGAGAGCTAAATTGAAATTCAGGATATCTGTAGTCTTCTTGGATGTGATGGTGATCCACAGCAGTTTGGCGATCACCGGTTGTCCCATGAGGATAGTAATGATGTCGACCAGTGAGAGACCCCCGATCTGGGCCGGTCCAAACATACAGACTTTGGTAACGTTCGTCATTTCACCAGACTGCTGTTCAGAGCTGAAAGAAACAAGGCATCAAAGAGACTGATGGACATTTAAAAGTGTGTATTTTCTAACTTTAAATATGAAAGCCAAGGAACATACATCCAGAGAGGCATACTGTGCTGTACAATGCACAAGCATCCTCTGATTCCTTCATGCTCTAAAGTGATTCAAAGTTGAACTTTTTTAACATCCGTACAGTATTTTCTATACATTTTGAATTCTATAAAATACACCGATGCAATATTAACTCAACCTTTCCTCCAGTACAAATGGAGATCTTTAAAGCCAAATGTATATTCTAATATCTTGAACCTTGACAGAATAAAGCACATCACTTGATTCTTAAAAAATGATCAAAAGCAAATTTGTTTAGAGTTTGTAAATAAAAGAGTCAAATTAAAAGCCCTGTACTGGCAGAATTCTTAGTTTGGTTTTAGAAAGTAAAGAAACTTGATCCAATACATTTTTATAAATGATGTTACATTCATATGAGGACATATAAGCAGATATATTAAACACTGAAGACTCAATATTAACAGTGTCATGAATACCGTCTTGTTCTAAGTTACATTGAACTGTCAATTATACCTACAATCATATAATTATATATCATTTATTACTCAACACTCGCAAAGTCAGAGCTTACCAGGTGTATTCAGCTGCTGCTCAGAACAAACCGAAGAGTGACCCGTGGATCAATCGACTGTTTAAGTAAAAATGACGCCTGATTTTCCTAATAGATGTAAGACAGGTGCGAGGCAGCCCAGCAAAACCAACAAACATCACGCCCTGATTTCCATAACTGCAGAGTTTCGGTGTCGGTTAAGGTTCGGCTGTGACAGTCAGGTAGAGAAAAGAAAACATACAGACGCCAAATAATCTATGAAGTGTTTGTCAGCACAGAGTCATTCAATGTGTAGGAGATCTGCAGACCACACGGTGTCAGTGTGCCCTGAAACACAACAGACACCCACTGCACCGGAGAGGCCTTGAGTAGTAACATTACATAATAATATAAAAAAAGAAAGACTTGTGAAACAGTAGATGTTGGGTTTGTGAAGTAGGATTTATTCTTACTGGAGTTATCGATCATGAAGATTCGTGAGAAACTGATATTCTTTAGTTATTATAAAACACTGTTAACCATCTGTGGTTACTGTGAAGAGTAAGACGCTGTGTAAAGGTAAGAAACGGATCAATAAGATGAAAGAGATGAAGACTTCTTTATTGACAAATACACAAAATAGATCACAAAGCAGAACTTTGAGTTGTTCACTAACAACAACCTCCGCGGTAAACATTCCAGTATGGCTTCAGTTACAAGGATTAAGACTCATAAATACTTATAAAACCTGGGAGCAAAAGTGTGTAAGCCCATTTAGTTTGACTATAAGAGAGCAAACAAATGAGTAGATCATGTAACGTAGGGAACCATGTCAAAGAGGCTGTATGATGAACGTGCATAAACAGAGCACATGCTAAGAGAATAAATATGAAAATACAAAAAACAAACATTAAAGAATTTATATACTTGTATTGCTGTTCACTGTTATTACGTATTCATCGGGTTTGAGGCCTTCTCCATTACATTCTTTGGGAGACTACCTGCATGTTGCATAGCGTCCAGGCTAACTTTCTTCTCCGATAAAAGTCAAAGCAGTATTACTGTAGCAAACAGTTTACTGCAAAGTCTATGTTGTTTTAGAGTCAGTATGCAGAAAAGACTCAAAATGTCTCATTATTTTTTATGGAAGCCATGAGAGGCAAGGGACAAAATTAAATTCTGGTGATCCATTTTCATAGTCTGGTCTTAACTGATCTCTCCTGTTAAGACCAGGTGACAAAAATATTCCTAAAACTTGATTTTTACAGGTGGGGAAAAAAAGTTGTAATACTCATTACGACCACAAGAGGCTAAAGAGCACCACTACCCCATGCTCCAAATAGCTCCAAAATGTATGTTTTCCTCCACGGGAGTTTTAATTGTCATGACTTGGTAGAACACTATGTATATGTACCTTTCTGTTTAGAGTGCATGGAGACATTAGAACTCCCCTAGAAGAAAACATGAATGCTCCGAGTCCTGTTTAGAACATGGCGTAGTGATCCACTACCGCCTCTTGTGGCTGGAATGAGCATTACAACAACAGAAAAAGATTTCCTCACTTTCGTCTCTGGTCTTTTTTGTACTGTAGGAGTGCATAACAACATAAGAACTCTATATGAGGTTTGGGTAACTTTGAATCGTCTGAACAGTTTTGGCATTGTTGTTGTGACTTTAAGTGACAGTAACAAGACGCCTAAATGGAATAAACTGGTGATACCACATGTTTAGTGGCCAAGTGCTTATTGTTGGTTGCAAATACAGAAAATGTATTCAATTCTTAATCTTCTTAACTTAATTGGTCCAAACAAATGCTAACAAATTGTGATTTAAAGTGTGACTATGCAACTTTTGAAAAAAAAAAAAAACCAAAAACGACACATTCTTCCTTTTACAAATGAAAAGTTGAACTCATGAGAAATAAAACTCACCTTTGATCAATTCAATACACTCAGGGGTTTTGTTGCTACAGCCTCACTTGGTCTGGTATGACCAGTAGCTTTAGGTGGCTAATGACAATTCTCCAATTGTGCTACAGTTACACCGTCTTTTAGCATGTAACATTATCCCATTATTACCATTTGTTGTCACTATTCAGCAAACGGTACATTATCTCGCTTTATAAAATCTTTTGCTGGAGAACAACTGAAGCCAAACCCGGGCCATGGTTTTCTGTTTCCAGTCAAGAAGGCACTTCTCTTTTGAAACTGTCTCTCTGAAAAGTCAGATATGCAAACTGAAGTACTACAGATGCTCTATATACAAATCACATAACTCAAAGGCACTGAATCATTTACAAACTGCAGCAAAAAAAGACATATAAAAACATGTTTTGGTCCTCTAAAAGCAACATTGTTGTTGAGGCGGGGGGCGGCAGGTATGGTGGCTAAAGTCAGTCATGTGACGTATTCCTCGGATAACTTCTGTGTAAAGGCATTATGTATGTTAAAACAAGGCACACGTTGGACCCTGGGTCATCTGGACTTACATTTACATTTGTTCTCTTTGCATTTCCTTTTTTTCTGCTTCCTGAACGCTGTAGTCCAAGCATGAAAAGTACAACGTCAAATCTTTTGTTTGGTGTTTCCCTTTTTTGGGGGGGGTTCCCGTGTCAGTTTTGTCACGGACAGGAAACTACGCATGGCTGTGGACGGAGATGGTCGACAGGTCGTTCCTGATGATCTCATTGACTGCAAAGGAAAAGAG